AAAAAATAAAATAGAAATTGTAGGCCGGCCGAATAGCTCAGCGGATTAAAGGGCCTGCAAGCAGGCACAGGGGGCTGGGTGTTTGATCCTTGGGCCTGCCATGCCAGCCCCACTCCCAGGGCACACTGAGCTGGCAATTGAGACTGGGCGTGGTGGTGCACACCTGTAATCCCAGCTCTCAGGAGGCTATAAACAGGAGGAGCTAGTAGTGAGACACTGAACACCCTATAGATCCTGTCCTAAAATGCAAAAAAAAGGTAAAGTTCCAGAACTCAGATGGTGGCCAGGTTCCATATCCTTGGTAAACAAGCTTCTGTTGGTTACTACAATAACCTACCTCCCTACTTCAGTCACTGCTATTCTAAGACCTAAAGTTGTATAAAAAATCTCAAGGTCTCTCAAAATACTTACATCATGACTCTCCCCCCATATTTTATAGAAGCAAATAATTTAAGAAGTGAAATACTAGAAGTTATATCCCCCAAAAAGTATACCTCCATGATGATGTGACAGGCTCCCTCCATTCGCAAGGATTTCTTCTCTAGCAGCTGCCTGTATTTGGAAACAACACAACATATCATTGCTACTTAGATTTCACTTTGGAGCTAGTGAGACCCAATCCTGAAGGAAGCACATAATTTTCCCCCACCTTATGCTAACTGTTTCTAAACCAATTAAAATACACAATCTAATTCTACAGGATTTTTTTCCTAGTAAACAGTTACAATACTTAAAGTCTACTTCATGATTCTAGTAGGGGAAAAAAGGCAAAATGGTAATTCAGCAGCACTAAGTTAATAATTAAATCAGTAAAAAGCGGTGACTGCAGAACCAGGTTCTACTTTTTGGTTAATTTCTCAAACCAATAAATATTATTAGCATACATTTACCAACTACTTCCTATATGTCTGGAACAGCACTAAGCAATCTGCCTATAGCATTTCATTTACTTTCATTACTGCTTATGAAAAACAGCAGTACCTCAGTTCCCAAACTCAGTTCTCTCCATGATCCTGGTTGCACAACAAACTAGACAAGAACTGAATCATACTTCCCCATGAGGTCCACATTGAACCTAATCCAAATTTGATTCAATTCTCATTCAACTCTGTTTGTGACCAGAATCATGGAAGGAATTCAAGTTTGTGAACCAAGGTATACTGTATTATATGATCATTCCCATTTTACAGATAAAGAAAAATGTTTAAATAAGGTAAATTACTTGTTTAATACACAGGAGGCATCAGAGTCAAGATTACTATTAAGCTATTAGGGATTGATCATAAAAACCTTTATGAAGATCATTTTTTAGATCAATAACATGGGTCAAATTGTCAGTTCCATCCAAGTGTGCGTGGAACCAAAAACGAACAAACAGAAAAAAGTCACAAAAAATCCCCTAAAACAAAGCTTTTAGGTCCCTGGTCATTCATGCTGCACTGGCCATACCGGCTTAACCCTAAAAAGAGAGCCCAGGTAGGACAGATAAGAACTGTCATTCCTGAGGATTTAGGGATGAGAGAACAAGAAGTATACTAATCTCGGCTGTAGTGGTACATCCTGGGAAAGAGGAAGCAATCTCACTGTGGTGCTGCAGGGGCGGGACCTTTGATACCATCACTGCAGCACTAAAAGCTAAGGGGATGAGAATATTATTTGATTGGGATGATGGTTTCACAGGTGTATACATATGTTAAAATTCAGCAGTTTATGCATTTCAAATATGTAGTTTATTGTATTCCAATTACACTTCAAAAAAACTAAAAAAGAAAAAAGAGGAGGAAGAAGACGGGTAGGAGGGAGCCAAACAAATCCTCACTATAGTTTGGGTCTAAAAGTGCTGCCCACTGAAATTATCTTACAGGTGCTCTTTGGCAAGCATGTAAGAGTTAAAACACTAGGACACCTGACACTAAGAAATTTGTTTCCTCTAAGATCCTCTAGAGTTTTGACTATTCTGTCTGCTCTATACATACTTATAATGAGAAATACTAGATATCAGCAGAAGACTTATAAGAATTAGCAGCTTAGCTGAGCATGACAGCACATGCCTACAATTCCAGCACTCTGGAGGCTCAGGTAGGATTCCAAGTTCAAAGCCCAGCCCGGACAACTTAGCAACTTAGAGACCCAGTGTCAAAATAAAAAATAAAAGGTTTAGGAATGTAGCTCAGGGTGAAATCATTGGTTTCAAATCCTAGTACCACCCCCTCCAAAAAAAAAAAAAAAAATTTTTTTTTTTTTTTTTTTTTTTGTATTTTAGGGAAGGGTCTACAGGGTGTTCAGGGTCTCAGTACTAGATCAGACTCGTAGTGATTCTCCTGTTTACAGCCTCCTAAGAGCTGGGATTACAGGTGCACGCAACCACGCCCAGTCTCATTTGCTGTCTCAGCGCACCCTGGGGGCGGGGCTGGCACAGCAGGCCCAGAGATCGAACCCCCGGCCCCTGTGCCTGCTTGCAAGTGTAAAACCAGCACCTTAAGGGCACTTAAAAAATATAGAAACTGTCAGTAAATGAATGTAAATAGCCTACATATAGTTTTAAAAGAATTTACAATTGTAGAATGGTGACATTACAATAACAAAGACCAAAAAAAATAAGGGATGCTGATCTCCAACACCAGCTACCACCTGGAAATGGGTAGGCTGCAAAGTAATATCAAGGAGTCCAACAATCTCTAGAATTCCTACTGAGTATCAGCTATTAAATAAAGAATAATCAAATAGTCACACACTACAGGTGTATAGAACATTAATTTTAGACCCACAGTTCAGTAAATAATCTGACGTAACAAATATACTTTTCATTTCTATGAACTAGCAGCCAGGTAAACCATGTATGACTAAAGAGTCACTAAAATTCACAAAACAATACTAAGATATATTTAAACTAATAAAAGAATGTGAAAATTATATGCAGTTGTGCAAAGTTACCTCAGTTTGCTCAAACACAGTCAGTGGGTCACTAATTCCCCTGTAGTTAAAGGCAAAATAGAAGTAGATACATGCACCTGCATCGTAAGTTTGCGTCACCCTAAAAAACAAACAGAAAGAATCCCCACAAGGGCTTTACAATAAAGTAGAAACTGATTTAACATCTAGAAACTTAAAGGCAAGATCCTCTGAATGATTAATATAAGAGATACTCTCATTCACTAACTGCCTACTGCATAAAAGGAATGTAGACTGTCTCTCTCTAGAGTTGTTGCTTAAAGCAGGTAAACTAAGAATGCAGTAGGAAATAAAAGGGTTGTACTTCTCTTTAAATGACAACTGGCAACTTAGTGGCAACTTTAAGTAGCAATATTATAAGCACATATTTAATCTTTCTCTTGTCTGTCATATTACTAAAGTAAGAATAACAAAAATTCGTACACATTTCATCAGTATTCTATGATAAGATGCCATTTTCAGTGGTCTTACTAAAGCTGTTTCATTAACCAGAGGTACTTAGAGCTATGTGAGAAAATATATTTGAAGTCATCAGGTAAGTATTGGCAGTAGTTGTTTTAAAATACAGAATGAAAATAACATGCCACTTAAAAGTACATATAGCTTGACAAAAGTAATACTGCAACAATTTTCACTTTCCTGTATTTAACTAATTTTATATACAATTAGTTTTCTTGTGATTATATGAAGACAATATAACTGAAGAACATCCATATTACAAATAGTGTAGCTTCATTATTTCTGAAACACAAAAAGATTAACCAAGTCCAGCGTGTAGATGCTGATTATACTTTGTATTGTCTTCGTAATCAGACATGATATGAAGTGTGTGCTCCTTGAGAAAGACAAGTTATATGAGAAACAGGAAAGGTGTTCTGCTTAATGGCACCATCCCTACTGAGACAGAAACATCAAATACACGTAGACATGCAAACACTGGCTAAAATCAATTTTCATTATTTAAAAAATATACTTTGACAAAATGTAGGCAAGTTATAACTTCCTAAAAATACATTAAGTGCTCTGACAAGGAATTTTTCATTTGTTTGGATTTCATGGCTCAAAAGTCTTAAAAGATTCTGGGCAAAAAATGTAAATCACTGAAATTGAGGTAATGGGGGCTATTAGACAGATGGCTGTTTACTGGTTGTAAGTTTATTTATTTTTTTTGTGGAACTGGGGATTGAACTCAGGCCCTTGCACTTGCCAGGCAAGCGCTTCTTCTACTGAGCCATCTCCTGGAGGCACCTGTTTGTAATTTAATAAATAAAACAAACAAATAAGGAACCTTTTTTTTTTTCAACTCAGATCACTTAAATGCAGGAGAAACTTCTAAGCTCTCTCTATAATCAATACATGATATAATCTCAGGATATAAAGTAATGGGAGAGAAGAATGTTGGTACTTCTGGGCTCAGTATGATAAAACACCTGATGGTGTGTGCAAAGATAGACAACACCAACAGTTCTAATGTAGCTTGAATATCAGTATATAGACTACACAGACAGAAAATGCTACGGTTATCAAAAAACAAAGAATAGGAAAATCTGGTGGGTCAGACTAGAAAAGGTGCCTACAAAAGCTATGCCTGAATGAAGACTGGCAGAAGATAAAAGATACTGTGCTACATATAAAATGCCACATTTCAAGGTACAAGATAAATTAACAGGAGATCACATGGGAGAGTTTTAAAAAAAGACACCCAGAAACACTGGAAGCAGATGGGCAAACAGAGGGAACAGAATAGGGAAGGGTAAACTGAAGATCATCACAATTCAAACATTAAGAATAAGAAAATCTGAAGAATGAGGAAGAAGCCAAGATCAAAGGAGCAATAGTGGCCCAAAGGCTACAGTTGCTGGGCTAGCATGTGAAGCAGGGGAGATGTGTCTTTATGTAGTACCAATTCTACAGCCCACAGACCTTCAGTGGGTCACAGATTTGCTTTCTTCCCTCCCTAGAACTTGTATTTTATGCTACTCATTCTGCTTCACTTCTGACCTTTCCCAAGCATGAGTTACATTTTTTATTCCTCTTGAATAAGTATTTTCTCCTGTCAAAGGGACACAGATGCCAACTTATAGACAATGCCTAAATCTGGGAAAATCTGAACACAAAAGAGAATAATAACAATAGTGAGGTCCAGCAAGATAGCTCAGTGGACTAAAGCACCTGCTTAGGCAAGCTTAAGTCAAGAGCAGGGACCAACATTTGATCCCTGGCACCACATGCCATGTCAGCATCGCCCCCAGGGCAGGCTGAACTGGCCAAAGTCCGGGTGTGGTGGCGCACACCTGTAATCCCAGCACTGGGGAGGCTGAAAGCAGGAGGATCACCACGAGTCCAAGCTGCCTAGTGAGATCCTATAACAACCAGATACATATCTTAAAAAAAAGAAAAGTAGTGATTATAACCCATAGTAAAATATCCGAGTCCATACTGATAACAAGTGAGGGCGAATAGTTCCTTACAATGAATTTCAACTGATAAAGGGAATGATTAAAAACAAAAAAATCACTACATGGAAATATTACAATAATAACTAATATGGTCCAGAATCAATAATGGAGCATAATGATTAGGATATCAGAAATAAAAAAATATGCCCAGTCTCAAAGTAATATAAAATAAAATGGAAAATAAATAGTAATGTTTAAGAGTTTTGAAACCAGGGGGCTGTGGAGATGGCTCAGTAGAATAGGTCTGAGTTCAATCCCCAGTTCCACAAAAAAAAAAAAAAAAAGTTTTGAAGTCAAGCAGGCACCATCTTAACCAAGTGATTTAAAGTTCAATTCATCAATAATGATCTGTCTCAAGTCATGACACTTCTGGTATAATGCATCAAGGTTGGCAAATCACTTCTGTGGCATTCTTGCCAAAATCTTTAACATGATTTTTTTTAAAAAAATGTATTTAGCACAGGGTCTACAGGGTCTCACTACACACACTGGACTCACAGTGATTCTCCTGTTTTCAGCCTCCCAAGTGCTGGGATTACAGGCAAGCACCACCATGTCCAGTCTCAATCTCGCCGTCTCAGCACGCCCTGGGGGCGAGGCAGGCACAGCTCGCTGGGGATCAAGCCCCTGGCCCCTGCATCAGTCTAAGCAGGCGCTTTAATCTGCTGAGCTATCTGGCTGGCCCTTATAATGTGAATTTGATCACAAGGAAGTATCAGACAAATTGAAAGTGAGTGACATCTTACAAAAGAACTGATATTGTGAATTGGGAAGAAACTTCAAAAGAAAAGATACTGTACTGGGGGAAAAAGGAAGAAGAAGATATAGAAAAATATATATTTATAAACTTGATAGTTTTATACAGCTAATTTCTGTTAGTTCACTGAAAAGAATGGCTTGTACTAATATTATTTGGATAAGATATCATGCCTATATCTTGTATTCTACTACAAAGACAATATACAACGTATTAGTTATTGTAACTCTATTAACCTGTTGTGGAACCGTTTACTATTCTTTTTATCCTCTCTTTAAAATAAAATTTTAAAAATTACTGGCCGGTGTTCTTCAAAAATGATATGGAAAATAAGGAACAAGTGAGAAGTTACTCCAGATTAAGGAAGATAAAAGAGACCTGGGAACTAAACAAATTACTTAACCTCAGATGGGACCCTAAACCAGAAAAAAAAAGACATGGATAGGGAAAATGATAAACAGAGGTCTGTAGATGAGTTAATAGCATTGTAACAACACTTTTTATGTTTAATAAACATACTGTAATTATGTTAAATATTAACATTTTGAGAAGATATGTGGAAGGGATATAGGAACTACCTACACTACTTTGGGGACTTTTTTTCTAAGTGTGGATTATTATCCTCTCCCAAATTAAAAAATGTAAGAGCTATGTAAATGTTTCCTCAGTTGACTTGAAATTAACAAAGCCCCCATTTCTCTCAGTAGAAATTAAAAAAAAAAAAAAAAGCATACTGCTGTTAGAGAGATCTCAAGCAGATTTGATGGAACGTAATGATCAGTTACAAATCTCCCAAACTTCTTCAAAGTAGCAGAAATAAGTATGAGAACTTAGAGCTCAGAAACAAGAAGTGTTCAAATATCAAGCAGGATGAGACTAAATGAAAAACTGCGTCATCACCAAGCTTACATTACTAAGTAGTAAAGACCTGAAAAGCATATTAAATGATCATATTAAATACACTGACAAGACCTTAAAATAATGTCTGTGATCTCACATGTATACATGTTGTATGTCTGCATATAAAAAATATCAAGAATATTAAATTACTAAATCATATGTACAAGATAATGTGCCTCCAAAATGCAATTAAGAAAGCACTTAAAAGGGAGCCCAGATACTCATAGTCAAATCTCCAAGTGTAACTGACAGAGTTCCCACAAAGAATTTAATTTAACAGAAGGCGCAAATACAGAAGAAATACTCTTTTTACTACACAATACAAACAGAATCTAATCTAAAATTTTAATGGCCTTTTAGGCCAAATGTTAGGTGCTTCAGAACAGAAGAAATGAACTGTTTAACAATGTTACTATCAGTTTGCCAGCTGTGTTATTCTTCTTGTGTTAATTCACACTCATAAAAAAGATCCTTTGACTATTTACATTTGAAATTCCAGAATAACAAAAATTAAGAAAAAATGGAGAACCATTTTACATATGAGGATACTATCATTAGAAATAATCAAATTCAAATAAAACCTAAAGGATAAATGAATAAAATAAATGTTAATCAGAAGAACATATATCACTCCAAGAGAATTATTAATAAAAATATAACTAAATATTAATAACACACTGCCACCTTACAACAAACTTAGGATATGTATATTACACAGTTTAGTGTTCACAGATATTACTAAATCACAACAAAGCGCAATAGGCCTAACCAATCAGTAACTCAAAGAGACATCAAGCTTAAATAATCAAAAAGATCCTTTGGGAAAATCTTGATTTGTGTCTATTTCAGAAAGTTACTCAGATCCAACACCTTTTAAAATATTTATGCTATTATAATTTTAGTTCTATCACTTAAAGATACTCAAAATTATTTTTAATGATATCCCCCCAAATTTAACAAGTAACATATACATTCTCATATTTTCATGTAGAGTGATTTTCTCCAAGTCAATCACCAAATTAGCATGTACCAAGTTGTTAGCAGTTTCTTATGTTCTTTTTTTGAGACAGGGATTCACTATGCAGTTTAAGCTGACCTTGAGCTTACTATGTGGCTCAGGCTGCCTTCAACAGCAATTGCCCTGCCTTGCCTGGCACAGGCAACAATTTTTAAAACCCATATTTTTAGCTTTTATATTTGAATTCTAGTCCAACACACTTATTCTGAAGCATACAGACTTGACTTGGTAATTTCTGCAATACTCTTCAAACATCAACAGGGCCTCCCACACAGAAGCAGAAAAGATTCTGTAAGAAGAACCTTCTTGTTGAAATGAACAGTGAAAAATTAAGGATGTTTTCTTAGATTTCATGTTAGAATTTTACTTTCTTACCCTACAGGAGCATAACTTATCAAATTCTAAGGGATATGTCTCCCAGGGGAGGCATAAACAGAATACAAGATAGTCAAGAAGTACCAGATATGACAATGTTATGATAAAAAAAAAAAAAAAAAAAGCCACACACAGAACAAATAGCAGTTTGAAGAGCACAGAAAGATCTCTAGCCTTATAGAAGATAGACAAATTATCATGCTATGTCATCTTGTCAAAAGAAATAAATAGTAGGCTTAGCAATCGGATGTGTTCATGAGGTCTTGTCACTAGGAAAAAAAAATCCAAATTTTCCTTATTCATACTAGTATAAACTGTCTTAAACTTAATGCAATTGTATCATAATAATACTACAGCATTTGTATAGCTCTTTTAGCTGAAAGCATTTTTCATGTTTCCTCATTTCATTCTTACGTCTGATCAAGGGATAGTACTACAAATATACTCATGATAAAATTAGAGCTTGATAAGATTTAATTATGAACAGGCAGGAAACAAATGCAGTCTGGCAATATAAAAAATTGTAAAAGTTGACAGAAAGTTGTCATGTTAGCTAAGGGGGTGGCCAAGCCCTGGTACTTGGCTGGCAAAGGCTCAGATGTTTTTTTCTGGGCTGAGATGAAGTAATTCCAGTATCATGAACAGAAATACAGCTACTACTTAACTTATAAGGAGATTATGTCTATGTCCCAATAAACCCATAGTAAGGGGAAAATACTGGAAATTGAAAATTCATCATATAAGCCAAGCATGGTGAAACACTCTGCAATCCCAAGCATTCAGTAGCCTGATGAAGGAACACTGTGAATTGAAGGCCAATCTGAGCTATTTTGGGAGTTCAAGGCCAGCTTGAACTGCAGTGAGACCCTGTCTCAAAAAAAAAAAAAAAAAAAAAAATCTGGTAAACCTAACTACCAACACCCGAACTTAGACTAACTCAACTTAAACATGCCCAGAACACTAGTTAGTCTACAGTAGGGAAAAATATCTATTTTGTAATAAAGTGCTGACTAATCTCATGTATCTTATCAAATAATGTACTGAAAAGCAGAATGACTGTATGGGTATGCTTTTGTTCTACTGTGAAGTAAGAAAAAAATCTTAAATCAAGCCACTGCAGGTCAGGGATACTCAGGCATCTAGAAAATACTGAACCACACCTAATTTAGAAGTTCAGCACGAAGCAGATTGTAATAAAAAACAAAAACAAAAAAAAAAAAAAAACATTGTTTCCAAAATTACTTAACTCATTCATCAGTAAAGTGTAACATTGGGGACTGAATCCTCTCTCACACACAAACAAGAGGAACAAGTGAGGCAGCTGTACAGCCTAAAGTGCAGGTTGTGACATTTACTTTAAGGTTCCCCTTTCCATGATCAGTTCTGATTCCATTTATTCTCCATTCCAATTAATTCTGTAACTTTATAAAGAAATAAAATGTTTAACTTAATTGTATCCAGTTAAATTCTGGTACTTAACAAAGAAAACTTATATTAAAAGACTGAATACCAAGTTTCCATTTTAAGAAAAACCTTCTGGGCTGCTGCTACTTAACAAAGAGGACAACATCATCAGTTAGCCAGGCACTGATCAAAAGGAAGACACTAGCTCTACATGTAGTTTTTTACATTTAAATTAATTTTTAAACTTCGGTTCCACAGTCACATTTTAATCTCTTAGAAACTACAAGGGGCTTGTGGCTACTATACTGGGCACTGCCAATACAGAGTACCTACATTACAAAGGAAGACCTACTAGAGAACACAGAGTCAATTAGGAAGCTTTTGCTCCTCTCCTTTTTTTTTATTCCACTCCCACTCACTTAATCAGCAAAGTGATTTCTCTCCAATGAAGAACAGTGTTGACTAAGCATGTAATTTACAGTTTCTTGATTACAGATGTCATTTACAGCTTCAGTGAATGAAAGAGTCCTTCTCTTTCACAAGAGCCGAGACACTTCGCTCTTCATTGCCATGCTGACCATATGCAGAAGGCTCACGCAGGGGGTGGGGGTTCCTACTCCCACAGGGTCCTAGTGACATCCTAACAAGGCGTAGGGAGCTCAGCAAAGCTTGCAAAGTGAAGTAGTCTGAAGCTTCTCAGCTGACACACTGTATTTTCCTACTGATCAAAAAATTTTTTCAGAATAAGTACTATTAATTAAAATAATAAAACTCACCTGCATGTAGAAAAAGGATCAAACTGAACACCCTTCTCTTTGCATTCCCTTCTTATTCTTTCCTTTACATTTTTACAGAGATCTATAACCCTAGAAGAGATAATTGAATACAGTATTATGTTTTCAAATGAGAACTACAAAATCTTAAAAAGTGCTGATTTATCTTTATTTATTTTTTTAATGTACTTGGTTGTTACAGGGTCTCACAATGCAGCTCGGACTTGTAGCTCTCCCCGTTTTTCAGCCTCCCCAGAGCTAGGATTACAAGCGTGCGCCACCATGTCTCAACTCCGTGGCCCAGCTCAGAGTGCCTGGCCGTGGGGCCAGCAGGACAACATGTGGTGCTGGGGATCAAACCATGGGCTCTGCACTTGCCTAAGCAGGCACTTAAGTCGGCTGAGCTATCTCATTGGCCCGCTCAAATCTGAAATTCTTGTAAATAAAATTTTCAAGTTCTTTATCTTGGCTCTAGAAAATGGAATTTAAGTGCTATCATTAAACAGTCTAAAGATACTAATCCAACCGATCTGCTTGCTAGTGTAGTCTTGCTTACGTTAAACTGTTAGGTGAACTATGTTTCAGTTTAAATTTATTTTAATGCATTTATTCATCCCAAATGTAATTTAAAAAAACACAGACATGTTAAGAATTGATTATAGCTAAACCCTCTCTGGTAGCTGAGTAATGAAGAGCAAATGAAAGAAAGAATACGAATGGTTATAATCCCTAATGGGACACTTTCTAAAAAGATTTGTAGGGAGCAGAGTACTATATAAAGTTGAATATAGGCCACTGGCCTAGTCACTTTCTATGACATAAACACAACTGTGTATATTTTTAAATTCTTACTTAAGCGATTTAACAAACAACTTTAGCACTGTTAATCACTTCTTTGTTGAAAAAAAAAATCTTTCCTAGGCTTTTGTCACTGGATTTTCTAGAAACCATTCCTCAAATCTCACTTGCTGGCTTTTGTTTGTACAACTCTCTCATATATGCTGAGGTTCTGGGGACCTCTTCCACAGGCCTTATTTTCCCCCTCACTCCATACTACTATCTAAGTATTCATTTCCACTTCCTGAGTTTTAATCACAAGACTCCTATGGTATCTCCAAAACTTAAAATCTCCAACTCAGTAGGATAGTTGTTCTATTGTTCTAGGCTGCATTCTCACACTATGCCAGAGTTAACAGGACCCTATGTAAAATATCCACCGAGTACCTAACAGCTGCAATGAGATACTCTGGAGGCCACGGTGAGATACACAAAGATTAGTATGATGGATTAATGCCTTACAAGGCTTTTACATAAACAGGCCGATGACCTAATAATGTGTTCAGCTGAAAACCCCGGTTCTTCAGGTACTGCTGGTCACTAGCTAGCTAAGACTTAGAAAAACAAAGGAGGCTGTTAAATGGGTAACAAGTACCTTTTCATTAAAAAAAAAAAAATGTAGCTATATTTCATTAATGCTATTAAAACTTTAAAGAAATTACTTGAAAACAACTCAACTACATAAAACAGAAACTACCAATCAGTTAAGTAAATATGTAAACATAAACAAGAATAGATAAACAAAGACAAAAAGGATATGATTAGCTTCCACAACTGAGAGCGTAAAAGGTAAGACAGTAATCACCAGTCGGTATTAACTGATGACAAGGCAATTTATAATGCAGAAAAGACAACACAATACTAATCTACTTACTCCAGTGATAAAGACTGAATGTTTGCCTGCATCAAATTCATACACTGAAATCCTATCCTCCAATGTGACAGCATTAGGGGGTAAGGTCTTTGGGAGGTAATTAGGCCATGAGGATGGAGCTCTCAAGAATGGCATATGTGCCCTTTTAAAACACGAGAAGGTTTGCTTTCTCTCTGCTTTCCACAATGTGAGGATAAAATGAGAAGGTGGATCTAGACAAATAAGCAAGACAGTCTTCGTGATGGCACTGTAATCTTGGACTTCAATCTTCCAGAACTCTCAGAAATAAAATCTTTTTGTCTGTGATATTTCACATAGCTGCCCAAAGTGAGATATCAAGCAAGGTGAGGTATTAAAGACTAAAACATCTCTGATATCACTAGGAAGAGCTGACTATTTCTTCTATTCAAAAGTATTAGATGTCAATGAGTTAGTAATTCTTTTATCTGTAAGATTTATTCCCCTTGTTAAAAACAAGTATCAAAAATTTTGACAGTAATATTACAAACTGGATAATTATCTAACAACACATGGAATATAAGTAGCAGTCTACCAAAAAACATAACCCATTACAGAGGGCCAGAGATACAGCTCAGCAGCATAAGCACCTGCCTGGCAAATGCCAAGGTCCTAAGTCCAATTCCCAGTACCAAAAATAAACACAATAACTCATCACAGATAAATACAATCTTAGAAGTTTTCTAAAGGATCAAAAAAACGAAATAAACAAACAAACAAACAGGGGCTGGAAAGATAGCTCAGAAGAGTAAGCACTTGCCTGGCAAGCACAAGGTCCTAAGTTCAATCCCCAGTACCACCAAAAAAACAAACAAACAAAAATACCCAACACTGAGAGAGAATAAAATGTTAAGACATGTAATGTCTAAAAAGGTCATTCATGGGGTATTTGTCAAATCTCATGTACTTTATTATGTAAGTGAAATATTTTATAAATTCTATAAAGAAAAACTGCAGACTAAAGCACTTACTTAGGCAGAGTGCAGAGGCCAGGGTTTGATCTCTAGCACCACATGCCGTGCCGGCCCTGCCCCTGGGGCACCCACTGAGACTGTGATTGAGACTGGGTATGATGGCATGCACCTATAATCCTAGCTCTTGGGAGGCTGAAAACAGGAGGGTCACTACAAGTCCAATCTGTGTAGTGAGACCCTGTAGGCCCTATACTAAATACATTTTTTAAAAAACCAAAAAACAAAAATCTAGGCATCCTCTAAGAAAATAAAAACGACAATCTCTTTAATTTATTTATTTGTGTGTGTGTGTGTGTGTGTGTGTGTGTGTGGCCAGCTCAGCCCACCAGGGGGCATGGCTGGCTGGTATGTGGTGCTGGGGGATTGAACCGCGGTCCCTGTGCTTTGCTAAGCTTGTTCTAAGTAGGTGCTTTAGACCACTGAGCCACCTCACCAGCCCGACAATCTCTTTAAAAAGTTTTTTAATTACTGAATAATTCTGAGTACACTTTTAATAAAACTATTTCACATTTCCTAACCACTTTTCATCCAACACATATTTCTTGTGAGTGTGTGTGTGTGTGTGATTTCCTGAAAAGAAATCTACACTTACCCCCATTTACCCATTTCATCAAATTCTCCTGAGCTATAGTTACAATATTACAATATCCTCTAGTATTACAATTTTGCTTAAATTTAAAAATAAAAATACATAGTTTCTTAAATTATATTTCTTTCAGCTGCTTAACACAGATACACATACAAATATCAAAAGCTAAATATATATTGCAAAGGACTAAGCAACTGTGTAATTTGACAGGAAGTTCTAGGAATCACTGAAGCGTTATAAATCACTTAAACTAGGCAGAATCACATAGTGTTTTAGCATTCAGTAAGGCTGTTCAAAAATATAAACGTCAGCAATACCTTCACCTTTTGGATCACATATTTGCCTCCTACCCAAAGATGGAGGACTTGCAAATGTGGCATTCTAGGAAACATATTTTTAAATAAAAGTTCATGTCTTATTTCAAAGTTTCTTCATAAAATGTTTAAGTTTTACATATTGACATATAAAGATACACTAATTGAGTGATTCATATGTATGTTTGAATACTAGGCATTTTATTGTATTTACCTGTCCCAAGGAGCAGAAGTCTCAAAAGATTCTCCTATTACACAGTACTCCAAACCCAGGTCCTGTTAAGACACACAGAAATTAACAAAAACTACACCATATGCAATAATCAAAAATATTAGTATTTGATGTAATTGTCAGTATTACACATTTCTACTTTAATCTCAACTGCCCTTTACTACCTGTCTCCTAAGACCACTAGATGTTTGCCCTGACAGTAAGAAAGAGCCTTCTGAGGACAGGAACTTTATCTGTCTTGATTTCCTCTAAATCCTTGGTAGCTAACAGAATGCCTGACACAGAACAGGACCTTAAATATTTCTCCACGGAATGGAATCTCTCTCTAGGAAATGTCTATGTACATGTGAAGACTAGCAGAATAGATTTTTAGTGGCCTAAATACAAACCTCAGGTGTGGTGCAGGTCTATGATCCCAGTACTCAGGGACAGATCTCATGTTCAAGTCCAGTCCGGGCAATTTAGATAGTTAGTGTGACATTGACTTAAAATAAAAGAAAATGAAAAAGGCCCTGGGTTCAATCCCCAGTACTGTTTAAGAAAAAAAGCTTTTCCACACGAAGTGGCACATACCTATAATCCCAGCATTCAGTAGGCTGGGGCAGGAAAATTGCCAAGAGTTCAAGCTCAGCACGAACTACATAGCAAGACCTTCTTTCAAAACAAACACACACCCAAACAAACAAACAAAATCAACATAAAAGATCCTTAAGATGAAAAAACCAAGAGAAGGTAAAAAGGAAAGAAATAGTCTCAGTAGGATATCTGAGAAATGACTTTTCAGAATAAGATAAACTACATAGCAGGTAATTCTGGGGGAAAAAGTAACAACAAAAAGATTAAGACATCAGAGTTTGTTACAGTCAAGACACGAAAACTGAAGAAATAAAAGTTAAAAAGAATATAAGTATAGTTAACTTGAATATGAGCCCATGAAGTTTCTCTTAAGTAGAAAATCTATAATTAGAAAAATTTCAGCACTCAAATATACATGTTATTTTTATATAAGCATCACCACTAAAACAATAACTCAGTAACAAGTTTAATACCAATTTAAAGAC